GGGCATGTTACTGGGCCTCTCTGTGCTTCACTTTCTACATCTACCCACTTCATAGAGTTGTTGAGAGGATAAACAAATTCTTACATGTAAAACACTTAGAGTAGAAGCTGGCATACACTCAGTGCTCAAAATGTTGGCTGTTTTGTGGTATCTTTACCTGCGTCTCTGTGTTGAAAAGTTCAGCAATTAACAACTGAATTCCACCTGCAAATACCATTTTCCTTTAATGAGTTTATTTCACAAAGGGGATATTTTTCTCCTTAACCCAGACCTTTTGTGTGTGTGTGTGTATTTGCGTTAAATAGCTAAAAGGCATTCTCTTTAGAGACATTAAAGAATCTCACTTCTTTGATCTGAAGGTCACTTGGTTGTTTCCAGAATTTTCTCATAAAGCCTTTTCTTTGTCAGAAGTGACAGAGGTGTTGAAGGCTATTTTCATATTTTTGCCTTTCATCCCTCTTGGGGAAATGCTTGTATCTTTTACCAAGGTTATAAGGTTAGAGATGCTTTGAGGTACAGTGAATTTTTTTGTCAGTTTTGGTTAGCGTGATACTTTTTTTGGTGGGGGAGTGCCTTTAAACTGAGAAAAAGTCCTCCCGTGGTATTGAAGTATTGATGTTTCATAATGTTTTCAAAACAATTAACTTTGCATTTTATTAATAAACATTTTTTTAATTTTGAAAGCGAGAGAGCGTGCACGTGAGCGGGGGGGGGGGGCAGAGAGAGAGGGAGAGAGAGAATCCCAAGCAGGCTCCGCACTGTCAGCACAGAGCCCAATGGGGGGCTCGAACTCACAAACCGTGAGATCATGACCTGAGCCGAAATCAAGAGTCAGATGCTTAACCAACTAAGCCACCCAGGCGCCCCAATTAACATTGTGTTTTAAAACTCTGAAAAAGTTTTGTTAAGTGTCAGGTTTTGATACGAAGGACGTGAGCCAGATTGACAAAGCAAAGCATGGGGCAAGAGGTGATTGTGATTTTTCTCTTCCCTCTGCATCCTAACCCCTTCTCTGCTCCTAAAATGCCTTGAAGCACCCCTTCTGTTACCAGCACTGCGTATCTTACCATCTCCTCGCATCATCCAACTTCTGGGTTGTTTTTCCGTGACACATAAAAAACCTGGAAGCATTGAATGCTAATAATGCTGCACACCACTGATATTTAGATATTTAAAATCATTTGCACGCCTAATCCAAACCGAAGTGTGCAAATGGTCGAGGCAGTCATCACTTTGGTGAAACCTTTTCCAAGTAAACTACCTGAGAAGAAAGACACAGTGTTTTTATAATTTCATGGAATTAGGCATCAGTCCATCATTGTGCTGTGCTATTCGTCATTCATCCAAGGAAGCCTCTTTGAGCCCAAACACCGTGGACCCTGCACCATCTGGAGTCTACAAATGAGATGATCTTATCAGGAGCCTGTGCAGGGCACAGAGGAGCTGCTGCTGAATATGCCAGCGATAATCCGTTTGTGAAATATTAATTGATACTGCGCATTAAGTTCTGGTTTAATTAACTTTTTAAAAGCACAAAGCAGGGTTGCCTGCCTGGGTGGCTCAGCCGATTAAGCGTCGGACTTCGGCTCGGGTCATGATCTCACAGTCCGTGGGTTCAAGCCCCGCGTCGGGCTCTGTGCTGACAGCTCAGAGCCTGGAGCCTGCTTCGGATTTTGTGTCTCCCTCTCTCTCTGCCCCTCCCTGGCTCATGCTCTCTCTTTTTCTCTCTCTCAAAAATAAACATTAAAAAAAATTAAAAAAAAAAAAAAAGAAGTACTCCTAGGGACTCCTCCCTGATGACTGGGGAAAGGACTGATAGTTTAGCCGATGGAAGAATTAATAAGCCAAGCAATGAACTCTACAGAGCTGTCCAGCCTATGACAGGACTCTTTCTCAAGAGTTCATGTCTCTGCCGATTTGGGGGAACTTGAAACGCGTTTTGCCATAGAACAAAAATATGAGGGATGGTGCATTCTCTGGGAGGTCTGGGGATTTTAAAATGCAATACTAGGGGCAAAAAAGAAAAAAAAAAAGCCCAAATCAGAAAGTAGCAGAAATATATTTGCCCTAAAACACCAGACAGTGTCATGGGCGCTGTTTAAACACTTAAGCAATCATTTCCTGACACGTTAAAAAACTACAGCAGTTTCTTTTTAAACAGAAAATAACAGGCACTGTCATAAAACACAGCATTCATTTTATTCCGTGTGAGGCACTTTATAAGCAAAGCTCATCTGATCTTCACAGTGCTGAAAAAAAATTTTTTTTAAGAAAAAATGGAGGTTTAAAGACATTCACTGACTTGCCGTTGATTACACAATCAGTAAACAGCAGCGTCAGAGTTCAGCCCCAAACCTGAACTCTTAACTACTATCCTTGAACCAAAGAGGAAAAATGAAAAATACAGTAACTGCATTACAGTGAGTCACATGAAATATCTTAAAGCATTCCGCTGTCCATCTAAATATAAGAATCTTAAAGTGCCAGTTTTTCTTATACATGGATATTTAACTTTTGTAACCCATTTAAGAGCGAGCTTATAATTTCTTTGTACTTTTAATTTTTTCAGCGTTTATTTATTTATTGAGAGAAAGACAGAGCGTGAGCTGGGGAGTGGCGGAGAGAGACACAGAATCCAAAGCAGGTTCCAGGCTCCGAGCTGTCAGCACAGTGCCTGACGCAGGGCTCAAACTCACAGACCATGAGATCATGACCTGAGCAAAAGTGGGATGCTTAACCGACTGAGAGCCACCCAGGCGCCCCCTGGAGAGCTGCTTCTTAGTCTTAATTGCCTCCTGACCAGACTCCCAAATCCTCCGTTTCTTAAGTCTTCTGAAATTCCCATCTCCTAAACCACAGTGACTTCTTTAAGCCACCCATAATCGGACCAATTATTTTCCAAATCCATTTTTGCCACTTGATGTCCGACAAGCAATTGAACACCCCACCCCCGCACTCCCCCCACGGTGAATATTAAGCAAATTGTGAGGTATTTCCAACCACATACCCTCGTATTGCCCTGTTTAAAGATATTTTTGTAAGTTTCTGGGTATGACTTTTTAAGGCACACAAGCACAGGGAACTGTCTATTGAATGGTTTGATAAGACCCTGGCTTGTTTTAATAACTGTTCGTGTTTAGCATCAGATACTGTTGGGTAACTGCACAGACCAAAAGACAGTGCCTTTTGTGGAACAGAAAATGCTAGCATGTGTGAGCGATGTTGTATTTCATTCTGAACCCTTTTGTTTAAGCCCGGGCGTGCTCAGCGGGTCTGTCTGAATTCCCTGATAACAGCGGTTACTATGGCTGCGTGTTATTTCATATTTCATTTGCTGAACTGATGCTTGATAAGAGAAATGGCATTGAATCGTCTGCAATTTTGAAATTGCGTTCTATCTAAATAGAAACGTTTTCTCCTTTTTTTTTTTCCTCATGGAGGTCGAATTAGCACTGGGGTTAAAAATCCAAGCCTTATATTTCTAAATGAGGGTGTGCAATCCCGTATGCACTGCGTGGGTGGTTGGGGACTTTGGGACCCTAACTCTGCCACCAGCTGAAAGCCTCCTGCCTCCAAGGACAGGGCATGGAAGACAGATTAACTCCAATAATGAAATGTCAGATCAGATCAGCCTTTTTTTCTAAAAAAAAAAAAAAAGAAAAGAAAATGGGTTTCCTCTTTTAGGGTAGCTGATAGACAATGAACAGAGCCCCGACTTTTCTTTATGGCTTTTACGGGTGGGCTCATATTTTATGTTTTATGGATTCTTATCGGACCACAAGATACAAGTGTGTTTTAAAAATGTGTTGATCCAAATAAAGTAAAAAATATCTTTTGAAATGTAATTTCCCCCCGGCGCAGAAATGGGAAGATGCCATCTCTGGAGACGATGGCCGGGAGGCTCCGTGGAAAACAGTGCCTGTGGTTATGAATCCTGACCCGGGAGTGAAACTGCCTGGCTTGGCTTTGCTGGCTCGACGTGAGACCTTGTGTGTTTCAGTGTCCTCGGCCATAAAATGGAAAGATCAACAGTGCCTTTTCTCAATGGGTTTTTGTGAGAATTCACTGAATTAATATATAAAAACACTTAGAACAGGGTCTCAAATGGTAGGGAGTATGATATGAGTATTAGCTCTTTTTATAGGAATCTTTCTCTCTCTCTCTCTCTCTCTTTTACTTTGCACCCAGTGGGGTCTGAAAATCCCAGAACTATTATTTTTGAAAGACAAGATAGAAGCCAGTTTCATTTCTCTGTAATGCACAGCGTCTTGGCATTTCCTCGATTTTGTTTGTTCTCAGAAAGCAAATGATTAAGGTAATTAGAACTGAGGAAATTCAGTCATCATGGTAAGGGCTCCAGAGCTCTCCTGTCTGCGAAAGATCTTACTGAGCTATGTAAGGTGGTTTTAAAGATGCACGATTTTAAGATCTCCGAGGTCAAAAACTACACCTAGGGAGGCCTGGGTGGCTCAGTCGGTTGCGTGTCCGACTCTTGATTTTGGCTCAGGTCATGATCCCGGGGTCATGGGATCGAGCCCCTCAGAGGGGCTGCTTCGGATTCTCTCTCTCTTTCTCTGCCCCTCTCCGCCACTTGCTGTCTGTCTGTCTCTCTCTTTCTAAAGTTAAAATTAAAAGAAAAAGAGAAATAAGTCAACGGCTACATTTGCTCTGGTGTTGACTGGGGCTTGTGCATTTAAGTGTGGCCTTGTGTTTCCGTTTGTACTGTCAGATAGACATTTTGATACAGTGACCAAGGATGTTTTTAAGATTTGAGACATTTACCGAAAACGAAATCCCTTTTGTTCTTGCTAGAAAAGACCAGTTGGTTTCCCATTCTTGGAATCTGGGCCTCTATTGAGAAACCCCAGCCACCTGTAAGGTGCACGTAACGGTAGGCCATGTGTGTGAGCCATCGTGGGCTTTTCTCATCGATGTTAACATGAGGCGCTTACCCGGAATCCCTGTGAGGTCTTTGATGGTGATTGTATTTTCTCCCAGGTATGGCGGCAGCCAAGCTTCTGCATGACTCTGGCCTGAATGTGGTTGTTCTGGAAGCCCGGGACCGAGTAGGAGGCAGGACTTACACCATCAGGGTAAGTAAGACATTAAGGATGGGAAGGAGAAATGTAGGACGGAAGCGGAGTTACTGTGTCTTTTTTTTTCTCCTTTCTAGAAGTCTTGAATTTCATTTGACTCTTACTAAAAGAAACATTCTCCACAGCCTCTCAATTTGCTACCTTTTCCACATGTGCTTCTGTCTCTTTTCTTACCTCATGATGCCCCATAAATTATTGCACCAATAAGGAGATGTTTGGAATACATCAGTAAATAAACTAAAGATTCCTCACCTTTGTGAAAGTTATGTTATCTTCGGGGACAGGGGGAGCTAGACAACAAAAGAAAACAAGAAACACCTTCTATGGTGTCCCGGCTGATAGGTATCTGGTTATGCCTGGACATGTTCAGACATAGGGAGCTTTTGTGGTTACTTCTTCTTCAGAGATTGGTCCTTCATCATTGGAAACCAAACTGATTTGTAACCATATGGAAAACTTGTTTATGAACATAGGAGAGCAATTTCAAAGGTTCACATTATGGCCAAAATATTCCCTGATGCTATCTTTCAAATGTCTGGATTAACCACAGAAGTGATCATTTCCTTTCTTCGTTTTTCTCTAGCATTAAGTGGCTCAAAATTAGCCTGGAGTACCAAGTAAAGAGAAATGCATCAACGATTCATAGCTTACAAATTCAAGGCACTAGAAAACAAACCATGAGGTGGTATATATTGTGAGTGATGGCATTCAGAAGTCTCCTGCCTATTTAAAATTCAATCCAGGGGCACCTGGGTGGCCCAGTTGGTTAAGCGTCCGACTTCGACTCAAGTCATAATCTCACGGCTCATGAGTTTGATCCCCATGTCGGGCTCCGTGCTGCCAGCCCAGAGCCTGGAACCTGCTTTGGATTCTTTGTCTCTCTCTCTCTCTCTCTCTCCCTCTCTCTCTCTCTCTCTCTCTCTCTGCCCTTCCCCCACTCACACTCTGTCTCTCTCTCCCTCAAGAATAAATAAACCTTAAAAAAAGAAAAAGTAAAGTTCAATCCAGTTTGCTTTAAATTGCAGAATGGTTTAAGGAGAGGTAAGTCACATGAACGAAGTACAGTTGCAAATAGAATCCCATTTTCCACGGATACACCTCAAGGTCTGTGAAATACCCATTTGTTGATTTCAGAGCTCTTTTTTTGTTTTTTTTTAATCTAGGAAGAACATTTCCGCCAATATTTGTTTCTGTTTTTTTTTCCCTGGGAAAACAGAACCAAGAGGTTAAATATGTGGACCTCGGAGGATCTTATGTTGGGCCAACTCAGAATCGAATCTTAAGATTAGCCAAGGAGCTGGGATTGGAGACCTACAAAGTGAATGAAGTGGAACATCTCATCCACCATGTAAAGGTAGGCCTGGGCCAGCCTTTGAAAGGTTTGAAGACTTCTCTATGGGTCTTTCCATATATGAATTCCAGATCCTTCACTCAGAGAATCTACTGTAGTCCTCAATGATGTATGTGTATTTTATAAGTGTATTTTAACCATTGTGAAAATGTTTTCGCTGCCACCAAAGTAGAATTAAGATGAGAATTCTAACCTATTTGGGAAGGTTGTTGACAAAGCGGCATTGCCCATTTGGCAAAAAGTTTCACAAAACCAAGAGAGAAAAAAATGCGGTCGATTTATTAAGTGCCTCTATTTAAATATCTGGGTTCTTTCATGTGATACAAAAACCTGAGTACAGTTTTATCAAGGCTGCCCTAGACTTCATGTTGTAAAGAGTATTTGTAGTATGCCTAACGTAATATTTTGAAATTTGTCATTGTATTCTACATATCATTAAAGGTTAGTCTTCTTTGGTGATTTACATAAAAGTGGCTCAAGTCCCAAATTCCATCTGTTGTGGGGAACCTCCATTGATCTCCCCAAATTTTCTGTGAGTTGCCTGGGTCTCCCATTCCCATGATCATTTGTGGCTCATGGTTCTTGCTTCCATGATGCCTCTGCTCACTCACATCTTATGGCCTGTGACTCTTTCTCTTCCCTTCGCTTTATGCCAGCCTGTGTTCAAATTCACCTCTTCATCTTGATTTTCTTCAGACCACCCCAAGCATTTGTGTGCGACACACTTGACTGAAGTTTTGAGCTCTGGGGCTGGGAGGTTTAATTGCAGAAACAAACAGCTAAGAATTGAATATTGGACATTCTTACTCTAATAAGCTATTAGACCAGTGAGCCCCTGGGGATTTCTTACCGGCCACACTTCTCTGTGCATCCAAGTCACCCACCATGGTGATGTCTCCAGACTCCTGTGTCATATCTCCCTGATCCTTGTTTTCCCGGCATCGTTGTCTTCGTCCAAAAAGTCACTGTTGTTTTCTGACCAACAGAGTCACCTGTTCTGGGCCCCATCCTGGAGTCCCATAGAAGAACTGTTAGAGGTTTTGAACTTCAGCTTTTCCTCTCTTCCATACTTGCCTTTGTAGGTGGAAGTGAGAATACAGAGACATACTCCTCCGTGGTAGAAATCCTCCCTTTAGAAGACAGAAGAAACTAGGGGCGCCTGGGTGGCGCAGTCGGTTAAGGGTCCGACTTCAGCCAGGTCACGATCTCGCGGTCCGTGAGTTCGAGCCCCGCGTCAGGCTCTGGGCTGACGGCTCAGAGCCTGGAGCCTGTTTCCGATTCTGTGTCTCCCTCTCTCTCTGCCCCTCCCCCATTCATGCTCTGTCTCTCTCTGTCCCCAAAATAAATAAACGTTGAAAAAAAAAATTAAAAAAAAAAGAAGACAGAAGAAACTAGCGGCAGGCAGTTTTGATTTATATTCACAATGTTGACACCCTGATATTCTTTGTGAGTGATAATATCAAGAAGGACAAATAACAGACCGTACGTTATGAGTCATTTAATAAAAGAGGAAATAAACATCTACATGCGGGTAAAAGATTTCCTTAATTTTTACATAAATGTTTGGTTGACCTTCAGATTTTGTTTTATAAGCCTTTTCGCCTTGCTTTCCATCTGTGTCTAGCAGAAGAAGGGACACATGAATTAGAAATGAAAATGTAGCATGGTGATAGTGCGATTTGTTGAGCATCAATCCACAAGCTTAGCAAAGATCTTTCATTGGGTTCCTTGCTTTTATTTTTATTTTTTTAAATGTTTTTTATTTTTGAGACAGAGAGAGAGCATGAGCAGGGGAGGGGCAGAGAGAGAGGGAAACACAGAATCCGAAGCAGGCTCCAGGCTCTGAGCTGTGAGCACAGAGCCCGATGCGGGGCTCGAACTCACGGACTGTGAGATGATGACCCGAGCCAAAGTCGGACGCTCAACCGACTGAGCCACCCAGGAGCCCCGGGTTCCTTGCTTTTAAATGCAGGTCACACTGACTGATTTCTTTGACTTCCCAGAACACTAGGATCTCTTTTAGGTTTTTCCAGACAAAGGAAACGATGTTACGGTGAAATAATTTTTCAGGGCTATGGCCAGACGTGGTGCTTTCTTAGACGATTTCAAATAATCTATGTGCAGCTAAGAAAAAAATACAAATAATTAATCAGTATCCCTGACTTGATACAGGGTAAATACATATGCCGACAGTGCTCCTTATGAAATTTCAAATAAATGCCATTGCGTTTTAATTATCACAAAAGTACAAATATAATTAGAAAAGGCGGGCAAAGGAAAACAACTTAAAAACCCTTCCATGATCCTATCTAGAGAAAATCATGCTAAGTATTCTTTGGTTCATAGATTTTCATATTCCTGTATTGCTATTTTCTGACCTCTACTGGAAGAAATGAGAAATATCAGTACACTTAAAAATATTGCATACATATGCATATATGTATATGTATTTGACATACTGACTTACTCTAATTAATTCTCACTGCCAGGACAATTGAGACGCTAATGAGGCTACATGAAGGTCTTTTTCAGTGTCGATAGAGGTGCTAATTTGACCTCCTGTGGTCATATCCAGTGAGGAGCTGCATTATAATAAATGATAAAGACCTGACACCTAAGAAGTCCTCCCAAAACTAAATATTTGTCCTCCACCATCACCACCTCCATGTCTCTGCTAGCATGTCATTTTTTTTTTTTTTTGCTTAATGTTTATATTTATTTTTAAGACAGAGAGAGACAGAGCATGAGCAGGGGAGGGACAGAGAGTGAGGGAGACACAGAATCCGAAGCAGGCTCCAGGCTACAAGTTGTCAGCACAGAGCCCCTCGCGGGGCTCGAATTCATCAACCGCGAGATCATGACCTGAGCCAAAGTCGGATGCTCAATCGACTGAGCCACCCAAGCGCCCCTCATTTTTCTTATTTTTAACCTGTGAAAGCATTTTGGATGGCTACATCCATTTCTGGAATCACTGATAACAACTCTAGTGTTCTATCTCCTACTACATGCCAAAGAATATCGTTCAGAAATTTGTCTCCTCTGTCCTGGTAGGCAGTACTGTAGGCGTTTGGATGTTACTCTCTCTTGCCTATTTCAATAACTACTGTTCCCGAGTGCAAAGTATGGTTCACGCATATATATAGTACATTTGTGCCTTGTTTCATCAGATTTTTTTACATGGACGTTAATGGAAGACAGTTTTATGGGCAGCTTTAATACCATTCGGCTAAGGAATTTGACTATGTTGCAACCAGCAGTTTCAAATTGAAACTGGCGAGGGACACCTGAGTGGCTCAGTCAGTTGAGGGTCTGCCTCTTGATTTCGGCTCAGATCATGATCCCAGGATCGTGGGATGAAACCTTGAGTCAGACTTTGAACTAAGCATGGAACCTGCTTAAGATTCTCTCTCTCTCCCTCTCCCCACTCACGCACTCTCTTTCTCAAAAACAAACAAACAATCAATGAAACAAACAAACATAAAGAAACTGGTGAATGGAGCTACTCATAAAAGCAGGAGGGTCCAGGGACACCTGGGTGGCTCAGTCGGTTAACTGTCCAACTCTTGATACTGGCGCGGGTCATGATCTCATGGTTCATGAGTTAGAGCCCCGCATCAGGCTCTGCGCTGGCAGCATGGAGCCTGATTGGGATTCTCTCTCTCTCCCTCGCTCTCTTCCCCTCCCCCACTTGCATTTTCTCTCTCTCTTTCTTTCTCTCTGTCCTCTCTCAAAATAAATAAATTAACTTTAAAGAAAAAAAGCAGGAGGGTCCAGCATCTCCAAATGGGCTAGCTCTCCAAAGGAAGGGTGTCTTTCTCAAGAAATGATGACTCCCAGTATCACCAGTTCCCTGGCATCTGTGGAAGAAATAGTCTGCTGATAGATGGGGTATGTTCATGCCATGCCCCATAACCAGCATCCACACGCTCTTGGTTTGCTGTGATATGCAGCCTCTGTCCTGTCTGCCTCCGATCTGTCAGAAATGTTTATTACTACTGAGCGGCATTCACTTTTAGTACTACAATAGATCTGTCTTATGTGGCTAAAATGTGGTTTTCTAAAGCCTTGCTCGTGAATAAAAGATGTGATCTCAAGCTATGTTGGGATTTAATTATCAGTGGGAAAAGCGATCACTTCAGCTCATGTCTTTATAATTTAGAAGGTGTTTTCCTCACTTCCAAAATCTGTAATGTGGCGGTTAGTGCTCAACAGTACTGAAATTTTTAATCTGTTTTGCATGCTAATTTCATTTTTTAAATATTTTTTAGTGTTTATTTTTGAGAGAGAGAGAGAGA